CCTAGTCTCCAGGGCAGCAGAAAATAAATAATAATAATAAAGCTTTATTTGTACCCCGCTACCATCTCCCCAAGAGACTCAGTGTGGCTTACATGAGGCCAAACCCACAGCACATCAATAAACAAAGGCGATAACACATAGTCAATACAAAACAGTTAAAATAAACTCAAAAACAGAAAATACACAATAAGCAATAAACAATAATAATATCAAGCTTGCTCCCTCCTCCCTGTGACTTCCGCTCACATAGTTATACATGGCTATCATTTCTCCTCTCAGCCTTCTCTTCTGAAGGCTAAATATGCTCAGCTCTTTAAGCTACTCCTCATAGGGCTTGTTCTCCAGACCCTTCATCATTTTGGTCACCCTCCTCTGGACACATTCCATCTTGTCAACATCTCCCTTAAACTGTGGTGCCCAGAATTGGACACAATATTCCAGTTGTGGTCTGACCAAGGCAGAATAGAGGGGTAGCATGACTTATCTGGATCTAGACACTATACTCCTATTTATGCAGGCCAAAATCTCACTGGCTTTTTTAGCTGCCACATGATTTTTTTTGTTTTGTTTTTAATTATTTTTATCAAATAAGTATATAAAATTACTCTATTAACTTAATAGTTAAGTTAATAGAGTACGAAGGAATACGCTTATCATGGTTTGGAAGAATAGCATTAGTAAAATGAAAATACTTCCAAAAATAAATTTCATATTTAGGATGCTACCACTTAAAATTACAGAAGAAGAACTAACTAGATGGCAACAAATGATTAATAAGTACTGTAATGGAAGTAAAAGGAACAGACTAAATAAACAATTATGGTATAGATCGCAAAAGGAGGGTGGACTGGCGTTACCTAATATAAAAAAATATTACGAAGCAAGTAGATTAAGTTTGGTTATAGAAGGAATGGTCAAAGAAGAGGGAATAGATTGGCTTAGTAATGATTCAGGAAAAGTGGAAGATGAAACTTGGAATATTTTTTTAAACAGTTTACTAGAAAAGAAATGAGGGAAATTAGAAACCCAATGCTGAGCAATATACTTAAAGTATGGAATAAATATAAGGGGAGGTTAATAAAGGAGGGATCAATTATAACCCCAATAGTGATGGAAAAGAAGTTCCCAAAAAATTTAAAAAAAGTAATGGATAAAAAGGTAAGGGAAATAAATTTAGATAGGATAGGGGATTGGATGAAGGTGGAAATGAAGAGGGAAAGGATGTTGGAAGAGTTTAAAGAAATAAAATTGTCATGGTTTCATTGTATACAATTAGAACAATGGGTAATAAATTGGAAAAAAAATAATAGAAGTGAAAGCCAACTCAGTCAATTCGAACAAATAATACAGAAGGGAAGGACTGTAGAAGAACACGAAAACTTGAGAGGTATAATTAGCAAAATTTATAAGATATTAATTGAAATGAAAGATGAAAAAACAAAAAAGTGCACCCTTAAAGAGATTTGGGAAGAAGATTTAGGGATAAAAATAAGCGAAATAGAGTGGCAACAATTATGGGGACAAAGACATTTAAAAAATTTATCGATACGAGTTAAAGAAAATTATTACAAGTTAATATGGAAGTGGTACTTGACACCGGTAAGAATAGCATATATGAATAAAAATAACTCAATAAATTGTTGGAGAGGGTGTCAAGAACCAGGAACATATATACACATGTGGTGGCAATGTAAATATGTAAATAATTTTTGGGAGAAAGTATTTAGAGAAATAGAAACTATAATGAATATAAAATTAGATAAAAGTCCTAGTATAGCATTACTATCACTATATAACGATAAGCAATTGAAAAAGGAGGATAAAGAAGCGATAACAAACTTACTAACTATAGCAAGACTGCTTATAGCAAGGAATTGGAAAAAAGAAATGAATATACAAATAGAGGAGTGGTATAAAGAAGCATGGAAAAGAGCAATAAACGATAAATTGACATGTATATTAAAGGTTAAAAAAGGTATATGGAAACAAAGCGATTTTGATGCTGTATGGGGAAGATTTGTGGTAAATGGATTAAAAAATAAGGAAGGAAAATTACCGTCACAAGAAGAAATGAAATTTTGGACAGAAGAAATGTAAGAAGGGTGGCTTGAAATGGGTGGAGGGGAGCACTGTGGTGAAAAAGGGGGGGAAAAAATGAGAAAAAGGGGGAGAAATGTCAGAGTAAAATAATAAAATAACATGTTAAAGAGGTTGATGTACAAAATGTAATAGTATGTAATAAAGTGATAAATCAATAAAAAATTTATAAAAAAAAAATTACAAGGAAAGATATTGTTGGCTCATGTTTAACTTGTTGTCCATGAGGACTCCAAGATCTTTTTCAGGCATATTGCTGTTGAGCCAGGCATCCCCCATTCTGTATCTTTGCATTTCATTTTTTCTGCCTAAGTGGACTATCTTGATTTGTCTCTGTTAAAACTTCATTTTGATTTGTCTCTGTTAAAAGAATCATCTCTCTAATCTGTTAAGGTCATTTTGAATTTTGCTCCTGTCTTCTGGAGTATTTGGTGTTGCCTGCGAACTTGATGATCATGCCTTCTAACCTTCAACTAAGTCATTAGTAAAGATGCTGAACAGAGACCGCACTGTTACCCCTGCCTTTAATACTATGTGGCTACCTGGGCCTTATTACACTATGTAACAAAATTTGAAACAGTTTCTTTTCCTGGCTTAAATTGTTATTTCCTATTTAATTGTGTGGTACTTACTTTGGAAGTAGTTGTTATACTTCAGAACTTCATTTTTGAGGATGCCATTTTGAACCTGTCACTGTGCCATTTTGAACCTTTTGTGTAGACCACAAAAGCAAAGTTTTTGCAGTTTAATGACTGCATAAATGACATTTATAACCCAGGAAGAAAATTGTGTTACATAGTATTATCAAAGCACTGGATCGGACTATCTGAACTAGTGAAATCTACATATATAGACTTCCAAGGAGATGGAGAAGTCACAAAACATTTGTAAAAGGATCAACAGTGCACACAGAAAGGGACTATTTTAACATTTTTTTCCCACTGGTTATTTATTATTATGTTTTACATTATGAATTAGATTTTATTTTCTGAAAAGTGTGCTTAGGTAATTAATGGAAGATCTGAACACATTCCTCAAATGGATTGGGACCCTTTGCCAGTCTCCCCACGAAATGTTTGGCATCTCCAAACAAACTATTTAGCATTTTAAAGAATTATAATTATAATAATTATAATAATAATAATAATGGGAAGTGAATATAATGTGTGAACTTGGGGCTTTATTGTCTAACAGATTCAAAGTTCAGGTAGAGCCCTCTATTTTATTTTACTTCAAAAGGAAAATACATATCTTAATGGAGCAACAATAATTAATAAAGGGTCAGCTCAGAGTAAACTTGTAAAAAAGATTTATTAGTCTTTTGTACTAATCCATACTTTGTATATAGACATCGAGGAAATATAGTTATCCAACAAAAATATAATGTATTAGGCTGAGCTATAAGTAATCATCCAGTAATGGGGATAACAGATATGTTATGTAGAAAAATAAATTGATTCAAATAGATTCAAATAGATGCTTAATGGTGACTCCATTTTTATTCATCAAATGTTGACATATGTAGCTACAAATAAGATAGATCTAGAAGAAAATGCTAATATGCTTTATAGATTTCTTTATACACATATTTATACTTTTTTTAAAAAAGGCAGCAATGTTCTAGACTTCTTACTGGGTAATTACAAAAATATATTCTCCATCTGCAAAATCTAGTAATACTAGAATGAAAGGAGTAAGAAAATCCAACTTTTAAACAAGGAACATACAGATTTACTGCATTTCTTACACTATATACATGATGCTAAATACTTATATTGTTGCTATAATCTTTTAAAACCAGTTTATATAAATGGTGGAGAATGCATTAAAGCATAATAATGATAGGACCACAGTCAGCAGTACTGAAAAATGATTGAAGTAGAAACGTATTCCAGGCACTGCCAGAGTATGCTAAATTGTGCTTTTGAACTCTAGCTGCATTTCATCATCTCCAGAAGGCAGGGCTTCAATTATAAGTAAATATTTTCAGCATAAAAACATTTCTAAGCATAGTCTGAGAAATTATGTTTAATATGACTTTTCAGCAAAAACAAATTGTAATCAATTATACATTTCAAAACGATGCTACAAATATATATCCTAAACATAAACAAAGTTTAATATCCTGAAAGGAACACATACTAGGAGTGATATTGTTCAGTAAATGGTTTATACTTAGAGGATTCATTATTTGCTACATATAGCATATCAACATAATCCAGCACAGGAGATACACTCATGTAACTAAGGAATATCTACACTGTAGAAATAATGTAGTTTGACACCACTTTAAGTGCCCTGGTTCCATGCTATGGAATCCTGGGAGCTGTAGTTTGGTGAGGCTTTGGCAGAGAAGGCTAAAGACCTTGTAAAGCCACAACTCCGAGAATCCCATAGCTTTGAGCCAAGGCAGTTCAAGTGGCACTAAGCTGCATTATTTCTACAGTGTAAATGAACCCTAGGTTTTTCCTTATATAGATTTTGTAGATCCATATCAGGCTATAAATCCACACTGTCATTCAAATTGCTTTAAAAAGTGCTACTGTAACATATCTATCCCAAACCTGGTGTGCATTTATGATTTAGAACATTTTAAATATCTAATATTTCTTCTTAGCTATGATAAAGGAAAATGGATCAAGTAACATATTTAGTATAGCATATAAACCGTCCTGTTTCTATCCTAGTAGGAATATTCATAGACTATGTTTTATCTGTGTTACTGACCTCTTTGAGGTTGCATGCAATCCTGCCCACCTCTCAGCAGAAGGTAAGCCATGGGTAGAATAGATCTCCTCTCCCTAAATCTCTTCCTGAGTATAGCAGACGTGTATAGGTCTAGAATCCTGAACTGTCATTCTGGCATCTTGTTTCTAACACTGGTGTTAGTCAAGGCAATACTGTTTTGTTGGTCAGTTCATATGTTTTGTATTAATTCCATTATCTGACAAACAGTTGATTTTTGAACATTGCTAGATGGGTGTTTTGTGCATTAGTAATGCTGTTTTCTTATGTTGCGATGGTCCAGGATTCTTTTGCAACATTAATCCAGTTTCATTTTCTAAAGTAAAATTGTGTAGACTGTCAAAAAACATTGGTGGGTGGAGATATATCTCTGCTTTAATTGTAAGGATTTGACATAACACAATTCTCTAGATAGTTTAGCAAAAGATACAGATTTTAAACTGTAACACATAGGCATTGGCAGTACTTTCCTTGCTTAAAATATATTCAAGCATAAATGTACACCAGAACTCTGAAATACAAAAATGTCTAAGAATGTATGGTTTTAGCAGAATTTTCTACAAACTCAATCAGCATGCTCTGGTGCTGAAAAATCCACTGTCATTTGTGGGTTACCAAACAATGTCTTATGAACAATGAATGGAATTTTGACTCAGCGGAATCAGTCTGTCACTTCTAATCCTTCATCTCTTTGTGCCGGATGTCACTACTGCCAAGTCATGCAAAGCACTCACTAAACTTCTTAGACTGTTACCCATATATTATGAATAATTTGGCTCCCATTTGAGTGCCTTAACTGCTCCTTCACAAACATTATAATTTCAAGTACAGCTCGAATTTAGAATTTAAAATACGAGAATATGATTAGGGAATGAGAGTATTATACATGCAATGAATACACTCTACAATAAAAACTTAAAATTGTTTATTGCTTTATGGCTCTCTAAATGAAGGCATCGGTTTTTGAAACTATCGAACAGTGTTTTTCCCTGTCTGCACTTCATCTTTCTGTTCTTTTTTTTTTTTTTTTTACTATCACTGGCGTTTCTGAAGTAGTCATTTAAAACACAGCTCATTCTAGTGAAAGTGCCCTGGGTTTAAAATCACAGAGCATACATCTTACATCCAGATATTCTTTCTCTCTCAAAAGTATTTGTTTGTCAGTAGCACAGTTGAATTTGAAAAGATTGCTGTATCCAGTGCTAAGCGATACAGCTGATCAGTACTCAAAGCACATTCTGTCAGAGACTGTTGTGTTCACGTTTTTCAGTGTCATGGAAACTGGCATTTTGATTATTCCTCAGATGGAGGTCTTTACTCCTCTCCAACAGGAGGTGGTGGTTGGCACAGCTTGTACAACCTGCCAAAAAACAAAGAATGTTTATTACCATCTCTGTTGAAATATTCAACCATAATGTAGTTCCTTTTCAATGATAATACACTTGAGTCAGAAGAAGCATATAGGCTGAGAAACAAAATGTAGCCAGTGATATCATTGTTGTGGGTATTCTCCAGTCAACAAAAAAGTTTCAAATAGAAAAATAGTTTTTTGCACCAACAAAAAGAATTATGTGACTGTTACTTGCCATTTCGGGACCTGTTATCACTTTGGCATAGTTTATTTGTTTGTTTTTCAATTAATACTTTACATCCCTCCTTGAGAAACATTTGTATCTATCTCATTGTTAAGATATGTCAGAAATGGGAGTTGAAAGAGTCCTTCTACTATACACTGTGATGACTTATTCTAAACCATGTTTGTAGGTTCTGCATAACCTACAAATTTAGGCTTTAAAGTTCTTGTAAGGCATAACAATGGCTACACTGCATATTTGCTTAAGCTCCCTCCACCCCCAATATCATAAAAACAAGTTAAAGTCATTTTTTTACTACTTTCTGATTTTCTCAAGGACCCAAGGAACAGATATGAAGCCTGTGAGGGCCTACTACGTAAAATGCCCCCCCACACACACACACACCTAGAGGAGTTGTGTCTCCCACAGTGATGTGGGATTAGGTGACAACACCAGAAGAACTATGACCTCTAAGGAATGGAACTGCACCATCGGTTATATGAAGAAGGCGATGTTTCATCTTATAATGACCTTCTCTTTATAAAACTGTAGATAAGGAAGTTGAGTAGCTATCTTAGGAGATGTAATCGCCAGAAAGAAGATAATCTTCATTAAGAGGAGATGTCAATTACTTTGTGGCCAGTGGTTCAAGTGGCCTATGTTGGGACAGAACCAGAAATATCTCTTTAAGCCTCTACAAAAAGCCTTGACCTTGAGATAACAAAATCATGAGTAGTTTGAGGGCGGTGGCAGAAATAGCTGCTATCTAAATCTAGAGAGAAGAAATAGACACACCCTTGTTTCCAAAATGATGAGAAATGGTAGTACCTCACAAATACCAGCATGTATCAGAAAATTTCATGCATCAAAAATTACTGGAGAAATTTGTTTCACTTTAAATGATAAATGTTGTGAGCACATGGTTTTTCAGCTCCCTTAATTACCATCAGTGTCTGCGATGTAAGGGGAGGGCTATATATACACCTGATTGAGAATAGAGTTCTATATATACAACTGACTAAGAATTGAGAGCTATTGGAGGTGACTTCCTCTGCGTCTTGCCTGTAGGAGGGATACATTGTGGGAGGACACTAGTGGATTTCCCTCCCTCTTGAGGCTGATTCATACCAACATTAGGATCATTTTAGTGCCAAGTCAAAACCAGGCTTTTTTTAAAAAAATTAAAGTTCTCAAGCATAGCTGATTTCATCTGGGCTGTACTTATTCATTATTTAAAATTGTTTAAAATCATTTTAAACTATCATTAATATTTATAGTTTTACAGTTATTTTATTGTAAACTGCCTTGAGATAATCTGATATAAGGGAAAGGTAAAGATTTCCCCTTGACATTAAGTCTAGTCATGTCCAACTCTGGGGGGGGGGGGGGCTCATCTCCACTTCTAAGCCGAAGACCCGGCATTGTCCATAGACACCTTCTAGGTCATGTAGCAGGCCTGATTGCATGGAGTACCATTACCTTCCTGCAGAAAAGACATCTATTGATCTACTCACATTTGCATGTTTTCAAACTGCTAGGTTGGCAAAAGCTGAGGCTAACAACGGGAGTTCACCCCGTCCATGGATTTGAACCGCTGACCTTCTGATCAGCAAGTTCTTCAGCTTAGCGGTTTAACCCACTGTGCCACCATGGCTTGTTGTTATAAAGTAGACTATAAATATTAACAGAAATAAATCAATTAAATTTATTTATTTATTTACATTTACTATCACTAAAGCACCACCCCATGGTGTAAGTGGAGTATTACTAAATAAAAGCAACTCTGTCTTAGTTGAAGCTTACTTAAACTTGTTGTTCTTGAGTTTTTTTGATAGGCAGTCACAAAAAGAAACAGGTTTTCCTACCATTAATCTCAAACTGAAAATAATGAATATTTTCTGAAAGACAAACTCCAAAATAAAGCTGCCGAAATTTCATACCTAAAACAAAATAAACCCTGTCCTTAAAAATCAATAAAAAAATTAGTGTGAATCTGGATGAAGTTCTGGCAGAGACTGAAGAAAAGATGATCTTGGTCGCAGGCAATTGACTGTTATGTGTAATTACCTCGGAGCAGATGGTGGCGTTCGGTCCCTAACGCCTAAATTCTTGGCTGTGTTCTGCACTCTTGCTCCCTGTAAGACAGGAAAACGTTTTGCATTTCAAATAGCTTATTTCTTTGATCTTTTCCTTTTAACCTCCTTCTGGGCATATACATTTAAAAACAAATTTCAAAGGGAAAATACATAAATAATTGTTTTTGCTTACAACAGAAAAAAAACACATCACACTTTAAAAAACATTAAAAACAGAGATTTCAGGAAGTATAATCGTATAAAACTATTAAAGAACATTCCCCCTAAAAATTCAATTTTCAAAGGCAGAATTCTGATCAAACATTTTAAGGCACAGAAAGACCTATTTAGTGAAGACACAAGAGAGGCCTCCACAGTGGTGGGTCCTAGATTGTGAAACTCTCTTTTGCAAGGGGAAAAAGATTGCTCCTTCCATGTTGCTCTTCCACAAGCAACCAAATACCTTTTTATTCATCCAGAATTTTAGCACTCATTGGCTGTTAAGGAGAAGTATAGTATTTTTCTTCTTTTTTTCTTCTGTGCTATAAATTGTTTTATTTTTTAAAATGTTGCTTTAATATCATAAGCTATTCAACTGTTTTAATATTGTAATTTATTGTGCTTTCTGCTGTTTAATCGTGATGTAAAAAAAATCTGGATCCCAATATTGGTAAAATGACAGGCTTAAAATACAGTACAATACAATACAATACAATCCGGGTGTGAAAACACGTTCTAAGTCACAAGTTGATGGCAAACAGACAATAAAACAGAAACTGGCATACTATCAACATGGCATGTAATCTTGGCAGATTGACAGGCACACAAAGAATTTTGAAAGTGATAGACACCGTCAGTGTAGGTGGACTGATAGTTTCAGCTACTTGATGACAATCTCTATTTGACAAATATGCCAAACAATCTCAAACAAAAGATACCCAAGACAAAAGAACAGATGGTCACTGGTTTGTTGGCTAAATCAAATTGTTTGTCTCTGTTTCTGTCTCTCTCGTCTTTTAAATACACTGTGCAATCTGAGGCACATCTACTCAGAAGAAAATCTCCCCGAGATCAATGGGACTTTGCTAAATAGCTGTGCATAGGATTTTAGTCTTAGTTAGAACATGTTAAGTACATGTTTTAAGAGGGCAATTATCATAAAAATAATGGTGGCTTACCTGTTTGCGCATCACATCTGTAGCTTGCAGAATGTAACGAGGAGGTAGACCATGACTCCGAGCAAGAATTATAGCCTGCTCCAGAGTAACACTCAGAGTACAACTGCAATGCAAAAACAAATACATTGAACAAAAATCCAATGTATTCCTCGTAATACAATTAAAAAGTGTTTAAAAAAACCCATGTAGTTCTTTTAGCCCAAAGGGGAAAAAACAAATGTAAGAAAAAATAATGCAACATTAACATTAGAAAAATGTGGAAATCAAGACTCAATATTAATTTTCTACTGAATGTATAGGGCAGCACAAAGTTCACCTACCCCAAAATGGGTAGAATGAAAGCCAACAGAATAAAGTAAATGTGAGCATATCAGGATAAAAAAATGATACCAAGCCTCTCAAATATTGCAAGTCAATATGCTTATCTGCTGAGCAATACATGCATTTCCATCCAAATTTCACATTTACTCAAAAGTAGGTGGATTATCTGAATTCTACTATAAATTGTTATTTGCTGCCAGGAGGCAGAATTTTGTATTTTCAAGAGCTTCCATTTGTTTAGGATTATGTTAATTTTAATGCTGCTAAAAGTATACAAATGTTTCATTTGTATAAATGTTCAGTAAACATATTCTATATAGTACTGTGGAGATTAAAACTGGCTTTCATTTTCTTTCTGATACGTTCCTGCTCTGATGATAGACTTGCTAAAGTTGTCTGTCTAGAACAGATACAGGATTTGTCACTTCAATGCAAAATTGAAAAACACTTTGTAATAAAAATGACAGCAAAAGTAATTGCTAGCTATTCAAAAACTTAAATATGAGTGTGCATACAGAAATGCAGACAAAATAACCTTTAAAGCCTTTTTTTTAAGCTTAATGTGGTTAAATGCATTTCAACTTGGATTAGAGTGAAAAATAACTAAGTAAAAAAGAGCCAAATATTCTGGATCAGGGTTCCCAACCTTTTTTTTTTTTACCAGAGACCACTTGACTAGGGATCACCTTGACCAGGCACCACTTGGCCAGGGACCACTTTGACCAGGGACCACTCTCCAACATTAGCACCAAAACGGTTTTTGATCAACTTTAGATTTGGTTTGGTTATTTGGGGTGCTGATTCAGAAAATTGCATTGGATAGACCACAGCAGCTCTAGTTTCTGATGCAAAACACATGCCATCCAGTAGTTGCCATCTGCTCACCCACAGAAAACCATATTTAATAATCTAGAACTGATGTGTTAGTAGTATTCTTTCATGAGTAGTCAGCCTATACCCTCCAGACATCCCCATTGCCTTAGCACTATAAGAGGGTTCTGCAAGACCAGTCACTCTTGTTGCTGTGTGGTTTCAAGGCAACAGTGTAGTAATGGTGAGGACACGGACCATATTTTTGTTCTTGGGGACCTCTGCTGGTCCACGGACCACAGGCTGGGAACACAGTGTTCTAGATGTTTAATAGTTCTATCTACTTTCTATACAAACGTGAAGGGTGAGTGGGACACACACTGGAATTTAAAATGTATTGCATACTTTGTTAATAATCCTAGACATTTTCTAAGAGCCTAAACTAACTACTGTGCTCACAATATTTTTAATCTGAATGTAACATTGACGAATGGGATGAGCTGCGCCAGGATGCATCTTATTATCCTAAAGTGCACTGTTAACCTCTACTCTGCCAAATTTACTCAGCCAATTTTTAAACAAATAACTTTGTTGCTGCATAATCTAGGAAGGCATGTCCCAATACATCTAGCCTATACAGTGTTCCCTTGCTACTTCGTGATTCGCTTTTTAGCGGACTCACTGTTTTGCGGGTTTTTGAAAATATTAATTAAAATATTAAATATTTACATCCAGTGGAGGCCAGGGAGGCCAGGGATCCTGGAAGTGCAGCGGCCTGAGGCACGGCAGGGAAGGCCTGCCTTCCTGGTCTGCTGCTGCCTGTGTGGCTCCTGCCAAGGAGGCAGGCAGGTACCCTGGGGATGGGCCGGGAGGCAGGTAAGGAAGAGCGAGTAAGAAACTAATTTATAAAATATATAAAAAATATATAAATATTAAAATTAATATTGCGTCCCTACTTCGCGCATTTCCACTTATCGCGGGTGGTCCTGGAATGGAACCCCCGTGATAAGTGAGGGAACACTGTATGTGCTATTTCCACATCCCTTATAGTATTATTCTGTTTTCTGCATTTAAGAGAATGCAGAACCTTTTGCCATCTTTTGGAAAAGAAAGGAAAGGAAAGGAAAGGAAAGGAAAGGAAAGGAAAGGAAAGGAAAGGAAAGGAAAGGAAAGGAAAGGAAAGGAAAGGAAAGGAAAGGAAGGAAAAGAGAAAGCAGAACATGTGGACTTTCATGAAAAACAACTTCTTAGATGTAAAAAAGTATATTTTAGAGAAAGAAAATCTATCAGTGCCCAAAGAAAGAAAGAACTTCATATTCTGAATACTGTGATATTTTTGCAAAACATGCAAACTTTTTTTTAAAAAAAAGCAGCTATTAAGGATGCCAAAATTAATCATTTCTCAGTCCCATTTATTTCAGTCATTGAGAGCTAAGTCCATGCTTACCTCTCATATCAAAATCAATTTAACATTAAGAAATTAACTTCAGCAGTTCATGCGACATGGACATTTCAACCCATTATAATCAATTCATTTTTGTTGCAAGCCTGGCTGGATTACTCTAAAAATAAGACTTTTATATTAACTTTAAAATTGATTTCCTTGGTATTTTTAACCAGTCTATCCATCTGCCACTTATTCTGTTCCTTTATTTGATTTTACAAATGAGTGACCTTTAAATACAAGAATTCTTTATTCATTGGGAAGTCAACATCATTCCAAGTTTTATACAAAAAAGAAGACGAGAAGTATGTACAGGTAGTCCTCAAGTTACACACATCTGACTTACAAATGACTAATAGTTAAGAATGGGGTTGAGACAACAGGAAGTGAGAGAAATCTGCTCCTTGGAAGGGGAATTCACTCCTGAAAGAGTTATCATGGGGAAAACGTGTTTCCACTGAAGCTTTGTCACCAATCCTTGTTTCCACAAGCCCAATTTTTCAAAATCCAATTATCACATGGACAGAAAGTGAGAAGAAATCTTCTGAACAGGGGCAAAGACAGCAAAGAAAAGAAAAGAAAACACCATAGGGGTGTTAACCCTTTCCTATACAATCCAAAGTGTATGTATATATGGTTGGAGTTACACTTAAAAATGTACCTGCTCTGACTTACAAACAAATCAACTTAACAAACTTTCAGGACCTCTCTTGCTCGTAACTTGGGGGCTGCCTATATTATTGGAAACAGCAGTTGGATTTTCACTTATGAGTTGGCTTATACTCTTCTTAGTTCAGCATGAGGTAGACAGTAAAGCACTCCTCAAAGATGCCTGTACAAATCTGTCTAAAGAACCCCAAAGACAGAGAGTCTACTGCCCTCTTAATTCCATACCAATTATTCCTATATTGGAAAATAAGGAAAGTTGAGACTAGCAATAATGCCACATATCTCAAGCATAAATCATACTCACAGGAAGTTATACAAGCTATATACACAGGCTCAGACTAAACACAGATATGTTCAGCAAGCTATAATTCTTGGAACTTGACAACAATGACCACAGTGCTGGAAAAAATTGAACAGCTGTCATACCGGTGTACTCCACTATTGCACATGATGATATGGCAAGCTCCAAGTCTGCTACAGAGTTCTGAAGAAACCGACAGTAGCCCAACTCCAGATGCACCACAGGCCGTGTAAGCACAGGTTGCTGTGCGCTTAGATCTTATGAAAGATACCATCAGCCGATAAAGTTCATCCAGAGAATTGATGGGACGCATCAGCTGAAAGAGATAAAACATATTTGATTGGCAGATTGTGGCAGTAAGTATAACAAGTTATGAGTTCCATAAACACCAAATTGTGGTTACCTTTGGCTGGATCTACACTGCCATATGATCCAGATTTATTAAAGCACATAGTCCACATTATCTGCTTTGATTATAGGTGTCTACACTGCCATATAATCAAGTTCAAAGCAGATAATCTGGATTTTATAAGGCAGTGTAGATTTATTTATTTATCATGTCAGAAGCAAGTTGAAAACACAGTTAAAATGCATTTTTAAAAACACAAAGTTTAAAAACTTGGCACTTTGCTAAATGTCCTTTGACCAGAAGCTGGTCACTTGGAATGCCTCTGGTGTCACTGTGAGAAGGTCCTCCATTGTGTATGTGGCAGGGCTCAGGTTGCATTGTAATAGGTGGTGTGTGGTTTGCTCTTCTCTGAACTCGCATGTTGTGGACTCCACTTTCTTAAGGTTATTTCTGTATTTTGTGGTGCCAGAACGCAGCCTGTTCAGTGCCTTCCAGGTTGTCCACTCTTCTGTGTGCCCAGGAGGGAGTTTCTCATCCGGTCTCAGCCACGGATTGATGTGCTGGATTTTGGCCTGCCACTTTTGGACACTTGCTTGCTGAGGTGTTCCTGCAAGTATCTCTGTAGATCTTAGTAAGCTGTTTCTTGATTTAATGTATTGACAGTGTAGATGAGGCCTTTGATAACGAGGATAAATTCAGAGTAAAGATTTATTATTGCAGCAAAAAATGTCTTATTTTTTCCAAGAGGTAGCTGAACTAGAAATAGACACTTGGCAAGTACCATATGTAGTGAAAGATTAAAGCTGTCGCATTTTGAACAACCATTAATTAGGTAATTAGAGAGAATTAACAGCCGAAGAAGAAGTTTACACACCTTGTAAATTAAAGAAAGGGAATTAAAATCCCAGAATCCACAGTTTTTATATTTAAGCACAGAGACTTGTATGTAACAAATACAACAACAAGAAATGTCACCTAATCTCTGCAACTTAAAAGGAATTAAAAATATTAAGACCCTTCTAACAGCCAAAATTACAGCACTTGCTTGTACAGTCTGACAACAACGTGGATTATTTATTTCACATGATTCACCCAGCACTTCAATTTATTTCCATAATACCTTTTTTTTCCTGTGGATAACATGCATGACAATATTACTCCAAGATAGAACTCAAAGTGCTTTAAACATAAGTAAAATAATTGACTTTACCTTATCTATATATGCAGCTTTTGATGTCGAATTTGGTGGAAGATTTGACTTGTCCAAGTAGAATGCCCTGAGAAAACAGAATTTAATTTTTCAAGAGTTTCTTCACTGTACAATTGATTTAGCACTGCTTTCCCCCATTACTGGCTATAATTGTCAATAAATATCTTCATTTTTTCAGTCATAATACTTTCACTTCTGAACTTTGTAACTCAGGCAAATTCTTGTACTTGCAGTCAAATTGAGTCTGTAATGCCTTTCTAAATATACTGAGAAGCAAAGGAAATACTAAAAACACTAAAAACAAAATGAATGGTAGAATATTAATCTTTTTCCAAAAAATCTGCTGCAAATCAGTGGCACTGCATATTAAAGGATCCTTCAATATTGATGGAGATTTGTTTTCTACACTACTCTAAACAACCCATGGGTCATAAAGCACGAACTGAACGTTAACATAGTAAAAGGAAACAACACCTTATATTGCAGTGCCACAGGCATTTTAGTTTGAACTGCATAAACAGCTACACATAAAATAAAAATATATGCTCAATCTAGCTTAACAAGCTTGAGGCCTTCAGAAAAAGAAAAGCTTTAAATGATGACAGAGAAGAATACAGTTACGTTGAAGCTCAAAGACAGAAGAATCCTGTGTCATCTAACTAATCATTGTCAGGAGATATTGTCCAATCCATCTCCCACTACTAATGATAACCAATGGGGGCAGCAAGGCAAACTGCAAATACTCAAATCCGTGAAGGCTAAACTCGTGAATGTGGAGGGCTGACTATAGACTTAGAATATGTTGCTTTTTTTGGAGAACGTGCATATCTTTCATCCTGTTGTTTTTGAGTAAAATCATAATTGTGTACAAATCGATTCAATACTTGGGCTGATGGACATTGTGACACCATCCTGTATCATGTATGTGGTGTTGCAGATGATGCCCTGGGGTAGATTTCCACTATCATTGGCTCACCCAGTTGTGAGGACAGAATGTGAATGTTGATGCTCAGTCCCTAATGATTTGTCCCTGGAGATCTTTCCAAGGATGCTGAGACACGCCGTCCATTTATTTCATCCATTTTGGTGTGTACTAAGTTTGTATTCCCCCCCCCCCCCCCCATTTTTCACCTGGATAAGCACACAATGGATGAGCATAATGGCAATTCTGCTGATGTAGCAACATTGTATTTGCACTCCTGGCATAATGTGCTTATAACATTCTGAGCTCCCAATGTAACCAAACTAAAAATGTAATCATTTTTCTCCACCTATTAGCTGACATTTACAGATAATCTGGAAGTGCAACACTTGCATAGGTTTTCACAAAATTATCTTGGGTGTTTCTGAGAACATGGCAAGCTGAGGACAGCATACAAATTTGCAAAGCACTTCACTTAATTACTAAGTGCTTGTTTAGGACCTTAATAAAATTTTATGAGGAAATCTAATGGAAGCTCTGGCCTAACGCCCAAACAAGGCAATTTTTTCTGAAGTTTTTAAAGGGACAAGCACTAAATCTTAACATTTACACTATGTGCAGCCTAAGCACTTTTAAAATGTTATATCTGTACATATAAACATTGCCACTAAGTGCCTTCAAGTCATTTCCAACATATAGCTACACTCAGACAAACCTATCAAAGGGTTTTCCTGACAATATTTATTCAGTGGGGAGTTGCTGTCACCTTCCTCTGAGGCTGAGAGAGTGTGACTTACCCAAGATTAGCTAGTGAGCTTCCATGACTGAGCTAGGATTCAAACTGTGGTCTCCAAAAGTCCTACTCCAACCATTGAACCACTACACCTGTTAGAACTCTCACTCACCATCCCCATACACATAGAGAGACAGACATCTGTATACAGACAATTATCAAGAAAGTTTGAGAGTGTGTGTAAAGACAGAAATAATATCCAGTTTAGAAGGAATGTTCAAAGATGAAACAACATCTCTGGAGTATCAGGTTGGACTGAATCAGTGAAGGGTTAGACCAGGCATGGGTAAACTAAGGCCTATGGGCTGAACATAGCCCTCTGGGTGCTTATGTCCAGCCCTCCAAATTTTCTCCGTCCTCTGGGCATAAGGAGTGCTCTCAGCCTGCGTGCCTTCCTCAGGTCCTCCTCCTGGCATAAGGATGGGATGAACAGCCAAGAGAAGCACAGCTGGGGGAAGAGGCAGACAGGGGCTGGGGGAGCTCTAAAGCCCCCTCAGTCCCCACCTACCTCTCCCTTCTCCCAGTGTAAGAACGAGGCAAGGCTCCATCTTGATGCTGGGAGAAGCCCGGCCCAGGAGAGGAGGCAGATGGGGGCCGAGGGAGCTCCAAAGCCTCATCCTCCTCCCAGCATAAGGATGGGGTGAGCAGCCCCATCCTTATGCTGCGAGGAAAACCTGAGAACATCACAATCAGCTTTTTGTTTTAACCTTCCAAAATACTTGGTTGTCATTAGCCTTTCTGCTCATTTAACCCCAAGTCAACTATAACCATCCAAGTAAAAAAAAACATCATTCTCAATATAACTCCCTTGGGCAACCTTTACATTCCTTCACTGCAATATGTGTCAATTTATTTCCAGTGACTACTTTCTGTTCTTTTAACCAATGAACAATCCATAAAAGAACCTCCCCCCAATTACTGCTATAAATTCTCCAAAGTTCCTAGTGTCAGGCTTCATGAAATGCTTTATATAAGTCCAGGAAACTTGGCCAGCTGTCTAAATCCTGAACAGGTGTTTACTGACACTCAAAGAAATCAAACGTAGACACAACTCTGCAGAAATCTGTTGATTTTCTTTCAACAACACTTTCCCTACAATGTCCTTGAAGAAATATATTTAATAATACTTCCCACCAATTTATTCAGAAGAGATGCCCCAATTGTACAGAACAGCAACAACTGTGGAGAGGCATTTTCCATTATTTTAAAGAAGATATTAGAACTCGGGATTTTGAGTGTGATTGCATGTTGTTAGGTGTGATTTGAAAGCAATGGAAAACTTCCAACTAATGCCGCACTAACCCACTCGCCATAATAGAAAAGAGAAAATTAAAGCAGTAAGTGGTATGTAGCATAACAACAAATCAGAAAGATATGTGGTTTTAGCACTGATTGGTAGTACTACATTACTAATTTGTTCCAAAATTACAAAGAGATTATATGAGATAATAAAAATACCCTTTAATTGTAGTCTGTTTACAATGGAATTCCTATATTTTTGCTAATGTACTATTACGGTCCCTTAAGCTCTTAATAACTGCTGAGCCTTCAGATACATAGTAATGAAGGTGTTTAAAGAATATTTGCTGACAGGTAGAGGAAACCTGCTATGAGGTTAGTTCCAAAGCCTCACAGAGAAGGTTTACAAGGCCTCTGAGCTGATACAGCTAATTTCCTTGCCCTGGTTATTGCCAGTTGAGGGAAGCATTTCCTAAATATATGTAATATTCTATGCAGCCTGGTGCAATGTCCTATCCACTTTCCATTCTTACTGGCATAAGACATCAGGCCAGGAGATCTGCCACATCACTCCCTGCTGACTCTGCTCAAGATTGCTCTGTTAATTACTTTCTTCTTTTTAAAGATACATCTTCCGACTAGCAAAACATAAAGTAATCATAAATTTACAGCATTTACCTTCCTACTGACATAGGACGTCAGCATACCATTTTTCTTGGAAGTGCCAAGAAAGCAGAAGTCTAATTACAAAACACAGCTGCAGTCTGGTTGAATGTATGGTGAGAAAATACAAAACTGTAAAAATGCAACTGAGGAAAATAGAAAAGGTTTATCTGCACCTTTTAAAAAGTCTCAGGGTAAAAGTTTTCTTGTAGCACCATAGTATTTCATTTCTTACAGACCACAATGGACACACTGGATTTTGACAGAATGCAAAATGGAGAGATTTTGCCATATACTGGCTTTGATTGGGTCTCTTAGCAGACAAGGTGGCTCACAATGAAAGGGAATTAGGTCAATAGCTAGCATGTTTTATAGACTCTGAGCTACTTAGAGGAAGAGCAGGAAAGGTGAGCAGGAAACAACCTTTTTAAAGTTTTAAAGTTTATGAAGTTGGAATGAAAGCCTTGACCCAGGGTATTTTATGATCTATGAACACATGAAAAATGAGCAATAAAATAAGTATCATATTGATTAGTATAGTTGTATTTAAGATGGTAAGCACAAACCAAAATACTGTATATTCTTGAATATAAACCTAGTTTTTTTAGCCCTTTTTAAGGCTCAAAAGCCGCCACCACCCCTCAGCTTATACTTGGGTGAGGGTCCTGGCAGGAAAGCACTGGGCTGAAAGGAGGAACCCAGCTCTCCTTCCTCTCTCGACGCAACACACACCTTCCTCTTCTCCTCTCTCTGTGCCAGTCTTTCCCACTTTTTCTTATTCATATACACACAGCATTTCCCCCAAAATGTATAGTTAAAATAAACTATGGTGATTATTGGAAGGATATGTAAGCACATTTACATTGATGGAAGGTTAGAATAATGATTTAATCAGAGTTGGAGAGTCTTATCTTAAATTACAGTTTTAAGTAAGTATTCAAAAACATTTAATCAACTGATGCCTCAATGAATGTCATTTTATTGTTTTTTTATTTTTAAATTTACCAGTAGTTGCTGCATTCCCCACTCTTCGCTTATACTCGAGTCAATAAATTTTCCCAGTTTTTTGTGATAAAACTAGGTGCCTTGGCTTATATTTGGGTCAGCTAATACTCAAGTATATATGGGTGGTAATAATAATAATAATAATAATAATAATAATAATAATAATAATACTTTATTTGTAGACCGCCCTATTTCCCTGAAGGGACGCAGGGCAGTTGCCAACATATATGGCAAACCTTCAATGCCAAAATGCAGAAACATACAAACAAATTACCTCAAACCCACCACATCAAACAGAACACCATCCAGCCTTTAATAATAATAATAATTGGAGCAACTCCATGGGCCACCTAGTCTAACCTGTTTGTACCATGCAGTGAAAGCACAGTCAAAGTGGTGGCAGGAAGGCTCCACAGGCCATGGCAGCAGCAGAGAGGCTCAGCAGGCTGCGCCAGCACCAGCAGGGCTCCACAGGCCATATGCTTCCTAGGCAGAGATGACTAGGGAGGCTCTTGGCAAAAATCTGAGACTCAGGGACAGCCCTTGGTTATGCCATTGAAGAACCAGGAATGATTTACAACACTAGGCTTTCATGGCTGAGCAGGATTTTAACCCAGATCTCTTCTAGTTCTAGGGTGCCATCTATATTGTTAAAATGAAAGCAAGGGCTCTGTGGAGCATAGTTTGAAAACCGCTATTCTAGACCAACATAGCTATGTCTTTCAGTTGTACGTTCAAATAACTTATCAGCGTATTGATGATAATAACATGTTAAGTATTACTTTGGAGTCCTAAAGATATCTATGCTTTGGGATACTATAAATATGACTTCATTTGCTCATAACAATCTCTGGACTGTGATTTCAACTCGAGACATATGGGATTATTATTGGTGGCCCAATAATTTGTTATTGTAGGTGTATATGTTTTAAATTGGAGATTGTTTTTAATTTGCTGTAAACCGCAATTGAGTCGCCGATCCAGGCTGAGAAATTAGCGGTATACAAGTGTACCAAATAAATAAATAAATAAATAAATAAATAAATAATGTTTTAGATTATGACTCAAAATTGTGGTTTTGGATTCAGCAGATATGAACAGCTCATTGCTTACCTGAGTTTCTGGTTGTACTGTTTTACTTTTTCCAATGAAGCTGCATTAATCTGGGCTTGAAATTCTTCTACAGATACATTGTCTCTATAATAATAGCCTTCCATGCTCTCCAGTGCTAAAAGAGAATGATAAAGAAAATCCAAATGAAGAAGCTTTGTAAAACATTGGATTCGATTAAAAAAAAACCCAGATGTGTAAATGCTGATGTTCTTCAAATGCATTTTTTACTCTGAAATGCATAAGCCCAGGCATGTGTACATATATATTAAAACAAAATAACTGTTCTGGACTAACTGTGGCAAATGTTTCCTAAATAGATGGGTTATTAGCCTGACCTTCTTGTTCAGCATTAAAGAGAAATCTTAAGGAGATACGGTTTCTTTGATCATTTCACCAACATTATCCCATAATGCTTTCTCAGGACACTCAGAAAAATGAAAAGTCAAAACATATTCTGTAGATTTCTTCCTCAGAAATCGATATAAACTTTAAGAAAATATCTCATTCTCACAAGCTAGAATAACTTGTAAAGTTTGCTCCCTACTAGGGAGGATTATGCACATTTATGTGCATTTAAAAAATTTTTTATTGTATGTTGTTTATTCGTTCGGTTGCCTCTTTTTTCATGACCTCATGGACCAGCCCGTGCAGAGCTCCTTGTCAGCCGTGGCCACACCCAGCTCCTTCAAGGTCAAGCCAGTCACTTCAAGGATACCATCCATCCATCCATCTTGCCCTTGGTCAGCCCCTCTTCCTTTTTCCTTCCATTTTCCCCAACATCATTGTTTTCTCCAAGCTTTCCTGCCTTCTCATTACGTGGCCAAAGTTCTTCATCTCTGCCTCTAATATCCTTCCCTCTAGTGAGCAGTTGGGCATTATTTCCTGGTTGGATCTTCTTGTGGTCCAAGGCATTCTCAGAATTTTCCTCCAACACCACAGTTCAAAAGTGTCTATCTCCCTTTGCTCAGCCTTCCTTGTGGTCCAGCTCTCACATCCATAAGTTACTTTAGGGAATAACTTTGCTTTAAGTATGAAGATCTTCATTGCCAGTGTGATGTCCCTACTCTTCATTATTTTATCATGATTGGTCATTGCTCTCCTCCCAAGAAATAAACATCTTCTGATTTCTTGGCTGCAGTCTGCATCTGCAGTAATCTTTGCACCTAGAAATACAAAGTCTGTCACTGCCTCCATGTTTTCTCCCTCTCTTTGCCAGTTATCAATCAGTCTGGTTGCCATAATCTTGCTTTTTTAATGTTTAACTGCAACCCAGCTTTTGGACTTTCCTCTTTCATCTTGGTTGTAAGGCTCCTTTAACAAATAACATGTGTAAAAAGTTTGGGCTTTGCACAAACAAAACTTGCTCTGCACAAAAAAAATAAAGCCCCGACATTTTGAGAAACACAACAGTTTATTTGCACAAAACATAGAAACATTTTTTTTCACAAATATATCTTGAAGTCCAAATGTTCTCACAGCAATTGACTCTTGACTCAAAGTACTGAAATGCCTTTTGTGGTCAAGGAAAGAGAAAATGTAGTGACTTTGTTACATTCTTGTGCCATTAACACTGAAATAAAATTTTAGTTTTTCATTAGAGAAAAGAAAATCCTAGATGCTTTTTTCCCCAGAACAGGCAACATTTACTATATATGAAGTTTGTTTCCAAAGGGAACAATCAAAAAAGAAAGAAAGAAAAGAAAAATGGGTTCAAAGTGGCAGCACATTGTTTGCTAGGAGTAGAATACATATTATGCACAGATAAAAACTATCAAAATGTATCCATTCACTTTGGTAGTGAGCTTGGAAAATGGTATTTAATAGCAAAAGAATGTGTATCCTCAGCGTGTTTTTCGATTCCTGTAATATTGTTCATGTGGATTTAAGACCTTTTGGAAAGAAGCTCAACAAATGAACTTGCAATGGTCACAGCAATACTAAGAGAGGAGCAGACATATCCACATTAGCAGCTTTGATATTTACAGAATATGTAAGATGTGGCTTTGCTAAAAATGTGAAACATTCCTTTCCCCAAACATTCAAACCAGTGTTGAAATTAAACTATGCTAACTTCAGAGCCAGCATAGCTAATAAATATAGATCCAACCCTTCTACATGAATTGAAACTTTTTGAATTCAGAATTGATTCTTCTTCCATTTCACCCAGAACTCTCCCTAATTTGGAGTGACGAACCCATTCAAGTTTGCAAATACATCTTGGTTCAGCAAAGATGTTTGTTATGCATATCCCTCTCCCAGCAGTATTCCTTTCTGCCAGTAGAGAGCAAACTAGAAGTAATCCTATCACCTTTCATTGAAAACAGTGTGGAGTGTGTCTTTGGGGGGGGGGGTGCTTATAGTGTGTACAGGACTGCAATTTTCATCTATATTCATCAGTGTGCTTTTACCTATTAATTTAATAGGAATGTATGCAAATCTGGAGCTGATACAATTGGAAGTTATTAAGTGGGTAATCTCATTATTACATTGAAACAGATATGCAGTAGTTGACATTTGAGGGCAGAAGCATATTAATAAAATAGGTTTCAATTAAGAATACTGCCACTTTGATAATAAATATAAATTATACAGGTTTGTCCCCCAGGGAACAATTAAAATGTCCCAAATAAGCAAGATTTTGTTGAAACCAGCTTGTCGGTTCATAACCCTAACCATATGCTGAATATTAATTTTGTTAAATGACCAGTTAATGAATAATTGTATTCATTAACAGCCCACTTGAGCCTTTCCAAAATCTTTTCTTTCATTTTTGTATAAAGAGAATTCAGGGCAGGGATCAAATTTATATCCAGACTCCTGCATTAAATCAATCATTGTTGCATATCAGTGGCCAGGATTCATTTAAAGACATCTACATGTTTAAGAGTTCCTTATGCTTCATCAGGTGTCACAGGAATGGACATTTCCTTCCTCCCTGAGCAGCACCCAAAGCCCCTTTCTTAGCTTATTAGAATACATGCATGTGAATTTCATGCTTCAAGTTGAGAAGACAGGATTGGAGAAGTGTCTGGCAAGTGCTAATGGTGATATAACAAGTCTATGTACAGTTATGGGTGCTAGCAGACCTTCTCCATTCCTGTCTGCTAATCTTGAGGCATTGAATGGCTGCACATTGTTGCTTAAGATGCTTTACAGTAAGTCAGAGAATGGTACAGGCAGTGTCCAAGTTATGAGCAAGATAGGCTCTGTAGGTTTGTTCTTAATTTGAATTTGTTTGTAAGTTGGAACAGGTGAATTTTAAAGTGTAACTCCAGCCAAAAATATATCCTTTTAGCTTTGGATAGCATAGGGAAGAGTTAACAACCACGAGGTGTTTGTTTTGCTGCTGGTGACCCTGTCCAGGAGATTTCCCCTCACTTTCTGTCCCTGTGATAATTGGATTTTAAAGAATTTGGCTTGTTGTGGAAACAAGCATAGGTGATAAAGCTTCAGTGAAGACACATTTTCCCCATGATAACTTTTCAGGAATGAATTTTGCTTCCTAGGATTAGATTTCTCTCACTGCCGGTTGTCTCATCCCTGTTCTAAACTATGAGTTATTTGTAAGTCACATGTTTGTAACTTGGGGACTGCCTGTATATGGTTTAGCATACCCTAGCTCTGCATGTGGCATTTATGCTACATCGAGGTAATGTTGAACTGGGGCCTGGGCTATAGGTTTCATCTATGCTGTCCATTTAATATTGTTGTGCAGGCATCTGAAGCGTTCTACTGGCAGCCACATGCTTATTGTTGAAAAGGGATTTTTTTTAAAAAAAATTGTATTCTGCCAGCCTTTGTGATTTGAGTAAGCACCACCCGAGTCTCTAACCAGTTACAGCATCATCCATACAGTGAAACTACTTAATTCAATATCAGTTTCAAACTAACCTAAGTGACCAATGTAGATATGTCCATAAAGACAAAAGTATTCATATATATAGTGTATCTCTGCAACAGATGCAAACTAAAATAAGTTTTTGAAAATCCCTACAAATAGCTCCTAATCAAGTTATAATCACAACTAACTCTAGAAACTGTAATCTACATAATCTAAATTTAAAAAAATTGCAACCTACATCCATGCTTTGAATGTTTATCCACACATAAAGGTATATTTTGTATTATGTCTTTTCTTTGGAACTGGGGATTTTCTGCAGACTGTACAAGTTCAAATTTGCAAGAAAGTATCTCAACAGATGAAAGCAACATCTGATTTAATATATTAAAAGTCACATCAGACTCTAGTTGGGTAAAACGTTCAAAATAGATTTGTGCAATCAGTAACTGGCTTTCACATTAAAAGAAAGTTATTTTCTGAAAAACCGCTATAGCATTCATTGATGCTGACACAGTGAAAAATACTGGCAATTATATTTCAATCTTCTTTGAAAATTCATGGTGATTATAAAAAATACCTTGTGCAAACAGGACTGGGTAAATTTTAAAACCTCCACCGTCTTGTAGTCTTTGAGGAAGCTGTTCAAAATTATAACTATCGAGATAAAAGTAAACTTTCAAGGCTTGACGACTTCCTTCTGCTTGATATGTAATTGGTGTATCTTTGAAAAAAAGCATATTAAAATGTTATCCAAGGCAGTTTTAACCAGAGTAATTTTAAAAGTACAAACAACATTTGGAAGCAAAAGAAAGATAAGAAAGAACTTGCAAGTAAGAAAGGATACCTTGTGTAATCTGTTTGGTAGAATCAATAGGCAATATGTTGCATAATACTTTGACAAAGATAGAGAATTTTAATAGAAACTACAGAAATAAATTAATTTGTGATGCTTCCACAGATGACAGAGTTCGAATGTGGTCCCCAACCATGAAAGTTGCCAACCTGGATGAGAATTTGAGAACTAGTGTGTGCCTTCAAATTTCCCATCAACTTATGGTCAACAAATTTCCCGTCAACAAATTTCCCGTCAACAATTTTCGAATTCCTATGATTTTCTTAGGTTTTTGCTAGTTCTTTAATCTGAAATACAGTGTACAGCACCTGTATGAGTTGGTACTCTCCCATCCTAGTACAAATTAGACTTAGCTTTCAAAATCAAATGGGATCTTATGGCTTGAGGATATTTACACCATTTGAGAGGTCCCTATTTCAATCCCTATCCTGCCATTTTAATCTACATAACAAGATCATTTTGAGATCAAAACAGCAGAGAGCTGTATATGATGCCTTTCCTTCTCGGATACATATGTAAGCGCTAAAAATGTCAAAAAAATGCAAGTGCAACTAAAATGCTGCTTCCTCTCTTGCTCTGTGGTATTCACAACCAGTGTTATTTAAATGGAAGTAACATTAATATGACATTTATTTAATTTTTTCAGTTCCACTCCATTATTGCTCATTACTGAGTGGGGACATGGGAGTTCCCCTGGTAATATGTCATGAGGCAACTGTTCTTGTGTTACAGAAGAGGAATGCATGGGTAGTGCATGTTTTAGTCGATACTGCCACAGCCAAGCATCGAGCTTAATAGCTACTGCAATCTACTATTTTAAACCAAATTAGAAGCCATTCCCAACTAAACAAATCCTGTCACTACCCTGCTGGTTGAGTCCCCTCAGGTTTTAATCTTAAGGACTTTTCACTTTATGCAATCCAAACTTCTAACTTGTTAGAACTGTCTTCAATCATGGTTAAGTTTAATATGTCTTAATTGTGTTTTAATAATTGTGATATATAATTCCTTTTTAACATTTTTATTTATGGTTTAGTTGCATCCTTTTAGAGTTATTGTAGGTCACCTTGAATCCCATACTTACATCAACCGACTGGATGTTATATATTATTTTATGCTTTATTGTATTGTGTTTAATTTTTATGACTCCCTGTGTTATTTAGTTGAATCCTTGGCTAATTTTTGGTTAGTTTTATATGTTTGCCATTTTTGTTACTCCTTGGAAATTGTCCTGAGTTTCCTCAGGGAGAGAAAGCATGTTATAAATAAATTGTTGTTGTTATGACTACCATCATTGTTGTCATCATCATTTTGGGAGAAAAGTGACATATAAATTCAATAAACAGAACTAAAAATTCACAGTTAAAAACCATTAAAATTTGAATATGTGAATTTTTAAATACTGTTTATATTTAATTCTGATTTAATGTTCACATATTTGTATATTTTAAATTGTATGCTAATGTCTTTTATGTTAAGCCACTTTGAGTCTCCTTCAGGAGAGATGAAGTGGGGTATAAATAATAATAATAATAATAATAATAATAATAATAATTCCAATAAATAATAAATTAGAGGGACTATGGCTACTATAAGTTGCATTACTGCTTATGTACACAATTCTGAAGAAGGATGGAAGAAACAGATATTACTGAGAAAGCTGAGGTGATGTTAAAGGCACATAATGCTTTTAAATCGTTGATAATATCCTTGAGGCTGTAAGGATGTCTATTCCAGAACTATACAGAATTTTCCCAATGGTTCATATACTGTTGATGGGTTACAAATCAGAAAAATATGATTCTACAGAGCAGTGCCAACAAAGGACTGTGAAGTAACAGAGAAAGTCTGAAAAAATGCATTATAATACTCACTTGCAACTAGAGGCTCCTGTTCAGATTGCTTAAAATAAAATGTAACTTTCTCCAGGTCAAACAATGCTACCAATGTGTCTTCTAGCATGGCTTGTTCATCAGTCTGAAAGAATACACATACACACACGAACATATATATCTTGAGTCTAGTAATAACTCTAGGCTGAAATGTACGATTATTAACATAAATGGCAGATGGTCACATCATGTTTCACCAAAGTAGTAGTTAACCCAATTAACTTTTCCGTAACCAAAATTGATTTTCACTCTGTCTTCTGCTGTCAAGAGAAAATTATTAGAAATGATGAAACAAACCGAACTGTTAATTTACTATTTGCTGTGACGGCTGTGACATTTAATCATCAGCAACCCTAGTTATTGTTCCTGGGAATGAGTATGATCAGAAAATAACATCCCTTCAAACTATATTGCAATATTTTAATAGCTTCCCAAACTGACATGGCAGAGATAACAACAAGAGTTTCCCACAACTTTCTATCGAGGGGAATAAGTATCATGGGTTTATGTGGAATCCTTGTTGGTACATTCAATCTAAAAGAAACAATAGTGAATTCTCCTCCTCCCTATTCCATTCCCAGTGGAATGGAGGGATTCCTAATGAGTCAAGGTTCTGAACCTTTCATAGACTGGCTTGGAGCTATGATTTATCACAAAGCAGCCAAAACATAAATCAAATAAATTACTTGTGGTAGTTGTATTTTCTTATAACTTTTCTTTTTATTGGAATATCAAAGAGAAAAAAAATATGGATTTATTAAGATATAGCAGCTGCAAATATTAAAGGGCTGGAAAAGGCACCAAATCTAGTGATCCTCAAGATTCTCTAGTTCTGATTCCTAGTTAAAATTGAGTAATTCTTTCATCCACAAGAACATAATGTATTCTTCTGTTACTTCTGTCTAAAGCATTGGTTCTCCACCTGTGGCTGTACAGGTGTTTTGGCTTACAACTCTCAGAAATCTCAACCAGTTTACCAGCTTATTCGGATTTCTGGGAGTTGGAGGCCAAAACATCTGGGGACCCACAGGTTGAGAACCACTGGTCTAAAGGAATGTACTCACAATGTCCTGAGTTTATAAGTTTATTTCTAAGACACACTGGTCCCTTCTACATGCCCATATAATTCAGATTATCAAAGCAGATTATTCACTTCATCTGATCTCTACTGGATTATATGAGTATACACTGCCATATAATCCAGTTCAGAGCAGATAATATGAATTTTTATATGGCAGTGATGCTACATTTCTTTTCACAATTTCCTATCTCCACGAATCCTTCCAACTAGTTGGTTAAACATTTTATTGGCTATTAAAGACTTCTTTAAATCAGAATGGCATAGTTTCCATGGTAACATTTCTTCACATTCCTGGTCCTAATATTTTATTAGTATCTTTTCTTCACACCTTGATTTTGCCCATAATGGCAGGATTTAAATTCCCTGAAGGCTTGCAATTGTTCTAAAATGAATGTTCTTTGTCTCTAAAGAATTTTCAATATTTCATCCTCATTAAAGGAGAATTTCCTTCTGAAAAAGCAGTTGCTAGACAATGCCTTGGTCTAGCAGTTGCTAGACCAAGCGTGATCCCTGGGGAAGGCAATGGCAAACCACTCCAGTATCCTTGCCAAGAAAACTAAATGGA